AAAAAAAAAAACAAGCAAAGGCTCAGTGGCAAGTGTGTTTGCCTAGCAAGTATAAGGCAGTGAGTATGGGTATAAATAAATAGTAACGAATAATAACTGTTTATAAACTGTTCCTAATAGCGCATGCATATCCTGTTTAAAACAGCATGTAGCATGTGAATTGCACATTTGCTCTACACAATATATACTAGCAAGGGCTGGGAAGGTGGCTTAGTGGTAGAGCGCCCTGGGTTCGATTCCGCAGCACCACATAAGCAAAAAGAAAAAATCCGGAAGTGGCGCTGTGGCTCAAGTGGTAGAGCGCTCGCCTTGAGCTGAAGAGCTGAGGGACAGCGCCCAGGCCCAGAGTTCAGGCCCCACGACCGGACCCAAAAAAAAAAAAAAAAAATTTAGCTGGGCATGGCCTATGAAGCTAGTACTCAGGAATCTAAGACAGGAGGACCTTAAATTCAAGGCCAGCTTTGGTTCATAGCAAGTTTGAGGCTACATACTGAGACTCTGACACAAGAATTTAAAAATATATATTCTTTCAATGTCTATACAAAAAGACTTTACCTTAATATTAAATATTTTGATCTTTGTAAGGTATCAAAGATGGAAGAGACATAAAACTTTTCATGTTTAATATAAATGTGGGTTTTGGAGAAAATAAAGAACTCTTGGCCATAGAAATTGTCTTTTAAAATGATCAGTTTAAAAATTTAAAGTAAACCAGGCACAAGTGGCTCATGCTTGTAATCCTAGCTATTCAGGAGGCTGAGATCTGAGCATTGTGGTTCAAAGGCAGTCTGGGCAGAGAAGTCCATGAGACTCTTATCTCTAATTAAGCACAAAAAAAGCTGGAAGTGGAGCTATAACTAAAGATGTCGAGCACCAGCCTTGAACACAAAAGCTTAGGGATAGCACCCAGGTACTGAGTTGAAGCCCCACAACTGGGTTTTTTTTTTTTTTTTTGCCAGTCCTGGGGCTTGAACTCAGGCCTGGGCACTGTCCCTGAACTTCTTTTGCTCAAGGCTAACACTCTACCACTTGAGCCACAGTGCTACTTCCGGCTTTTTGAGGTAATGGGGAATCAAACGCAGGGCTTCATGCATGCTAGGCAAGCATTCTACCCCTAGGCCACATTCCTAGCCCTGGGGAATTTTTTTTTTTAAATAAAGGATCTAACTTTTAATTAAGTTGTTAGTTATAAACCAGGCTAATCAGGTAACTTCTATGTGGACCAAATCCTTCATCTGTAAAATGCTGATCAAGCTTAGAAAAACAAAGAAAGATTATATAAATGTTAATAGTAATATAGAGTGCAGTTGAGTAATATCTAATGTTCAAGAAAAAGTTAGGCCCTGTGCCGTTGGCTCACGCCTGTAATCTTAGCTACTCAGGAGGCTGAGATCTGAGGATCGCGGTTCAAAGTCAGCCCAGGCAGAAAAAGACCATGAGACTCCTATCTCCAATAAACCACTAGAAAACTGGAAGTGGCACTGTAGCTCAAGTGGTAGAGTGCTCGCCTTGAGCTGCAGAGCTGAGGAACAGCACCCAGGCCCAGAGTTCAAGCCCCATGACCAACAAAAAAAAAAGAAAGAAAGAAAGAAAAGAAAAAGTTACATTAAGAAAAGAAAGGCAGAACTCAATTTCACAAAAAGTGCTAGGGTAGAGCACCAGCTAGGCAAGCAAGTAAAGTGAACATAAGATCCTGGGTTCAAACCCAAGTACTGCAAAAATACTAAATAAGCCAGGCACCAGTGGCTGATGCCTGTAATACTACCTACTCAGAAGGCTCTATCTGAGGATTGTGGTTTGAAGCCAGCTGGAGCAGCAAAGTCCCTGAGATTCTTATCTCCAATAAACTACTCAGAAAAAGCCAGAAGTAGCTGTGGCTCAAGTCGTACAGTGTTAGCTTTGAGCATCAAGAGGCTCAAGGACAGCACCCAAGCCCTGAGTTCAAGCCCAAGGACCAGAAAAAAAAAAGTACTAAATTCATCAACCAAAGTATTAGCCATTTCTGCCATTATAATGTGGCTTGCAACATTTTTTCCTTGTAATCACAGTAGTCTCTGTATCCCATTGTCTAGATAACTTGCTTGGGTCAACAGAATGAGAGTAGAAGTGACAGTCGGCCATTATAGCAGAAACTTTTAAGAGTCACTGTATGAGCTGGGTGCCACTGGCTTTTAATTCTAGTTATCCACAAGGCTGAGATCTGAGAACTGTGCTTCAAAGCCAGCCCAGGCAGAAAAGTCTATGAGACTCTTATTTCTAAGAGTTATTGTATGATTCTAGCTATTTTCTTTCTCTTTTTTTTCTTCCAGTCCGGGGGCTTGAACTCAGGGCCTAGGCACTGTCCTTGACCTTCTTTTTGTTCAAGGCTAGTACTCTACCAACTGAGCCACAGAGCCATTTTTGGCTTTTTCTGTTTATGTGGTACTGAGAAATTGAAACCAGGGCTTTATGCATTCTAGGCAAGCACTTTACCACTAAACCACATTCCCAGCCCTTGCTCTTATCTTCTAGCCTAAGAAAAATACGTCCTAAATAGAGACAGTTCCTTCATGATAAGTGAAACTATACAAGCCAACCTACAGGTAATATAACATAAATCATCAATAAATATTTGTCATAAAGCACTAAGATTTATGGGAGCTGTTTTACATCAAAATCTAATAAAAGTTAACCACATGTATGCTCAATTTGGCTGGGGACAGACCTCAGTGACAGAACACTTGACAAATATGCATAAGGCTATGGGTTCCATCCCAACACGAAAAAACAAAATAAAGCAAAACAAACCATCATTTAAAAAAAAAAAGAGGGGCTGGGAAGCTGGCTAAGTGCTTGCCTTGTATGCATGAGGCCCTGGGTTCAATTCCTCAGCACCACATAAGCAGAAAAAGCCAGAAGTGGTGCTGTGGCTCAAGTGGTAGAGCGCTAGCCTTGAGCTGAAGAACAGTGCCCAGACCCAGAGTTCAGGCTCCATGATCAGCAAAAAAAATAAATAAATAAAAATTTTCAAAGAAAGTAGTTCAGCCAGGTGCTGGTGGCTCAAGCCTATAATCCTAGCTACACAAGAAGCTGAGATCTGAGGATCAAGGTTCAAAACCAGCCTGGGCAGGAAAGTCTGTGAGATTCTTATCTCTAATTAACCACCAGAAAACCAGAAGTGGTGCTGTGACTCAAGTAGTAGAGTGCTAGCCTTGTGCTGAAGAGCCCAAAGACAGTATCCAGGTACAAAGTTCAAGCCCCAGACTGACAAAAAAAAGTTCATATAGTTATTTTTAGTACTAATAATAGAAAGTTGAAAATCTATGTAACTTACGTTTTGGAGTTCTTTCAGGAATTGGAGTGTCATTGATTTTCTCTTCTTTGGCAGATCTTTGACTTTCTGAAGACTTTGGTTTTTTCCTTTGGCGCAGTTCTACAGTTGGTCCTTAAAAATTGTGAGATATTATAATGCATGCATCAATCATCTGCATTTTGTGTGTGTCAGTCATAAGGCTTGAACTCAGGATCTGGGCACTGTCCCTAAGCTTTTTCAGTCAAAGTTAGCCACATTGAGCCATATTTCTGGTTTTCTGGTGCTTATTTGGAGATTAAGAGCCTCACAGACTTTCCTGCCTCAGCTAGCTCTGAACCATGCTCATCAAATCTCAGCCTCCTGAGTCACTAGGATTACTGGCACCTGGCTTAACTTTCTTTTTTTTTTTATTTTTTTATTTTCCGGTCGTGGGGCCTGAACTCTGGGCCTGGGCACTGTCCTTCAGCTCTTCAGCTCAAGGCTAGCGCTCTACCACTTGAGTCACAGCGCCACTTCCAGCTTTTTCCTTTTTGATTATGTGGTGCTGAGGAATCGAACCCAGGGCCTCATGCTTGCAAGGCAAGCGCTCTAACCACTGAGCTATCTTCCCAGCCCACCTGGCTTAACTTTCATCATCTAAACCAAGTCATACTGAGTCTTTACTAATGCCTAAGGTAACTTTTTTTTCTTTTTTTATGGGGGGGGGGTGGTCTGATCGTGGAGCCTGAACTCTGGGCCTGGGCACTGTCCCTCAGCTCTTCAGCTCAAGGCTAGCGCTCCACCACTTGAGCCACAGGGCCACTTCTGGCTTTTTTCTTTTTGCTTATGTGGTGCTGAGGAATCGAACCCAGGGCCTCAGGCATGCAAGGCAAGCGCTCTACCACTGAGCCACCCTCCCAGCCCTTCCTGAGACCCTTATCTCCAATAAACTATTCAGAAAAAGCCAAAAGTGGCACTGTGGCGCAAGTGGTAGAGTGCTAGCCTCAAGTACAAAGAGGCTCAGGGACAGTGCCTAGCCCCTGAGTTCAAGTCCTAGGACTAGCCAAAAAATAAAAACAGGAATTAATCTCTTTAGGATTGGAAAGGAGGCTTTTCTTTAAGTAATGAGTTAAGGCTGTGAAATATAAATCTAAATAAATAAGTCAAAATAGCAGAATCTGTTGCTACTGATCAGATGGATGGTTCTGCAGCTTTAGTGTTAAAAAAATGAGTAAAACGAAGGTATTTTTAAAGTTTCAAAGAAAATTCATATGTTCACTAATCTATCTTTAAACACTACTATAGTAAAAAAAATTTGTACATTTAGTGAATCCAGTCTGACAAGTCTAAGTTTTATAAATTTTTTTCACCATTTCTTCTTTTTTCTTTCTTTTTTGTCCCTAGCCTGGGTACTATTCCTGAGGGGATTTTTTGCTTAAGGATAATAACTCTCTAGCACTTAAACCTACAATTCTACTTACTTCCAGCTTTTCTGGTGTCTAATTGGAGATAAGAATCTCATAGGAACCAAGAACCTGTGGCTTACACCTCCTAGCTACTCAGGAGGCTGAGATCTGAGGATCGCGGTTCAAAGCCAGCCCGGGCAGGAAAGTCCTCGAGACTCTCCAATAAACCACTAGAAAAGCAGAAGTGGCGCTGTGGCTCAAGCAGTAGAGTGTTCATCTTGAGCTGAAGAACGCAGCGACAGCGCCCAGGCCCAGAGTTCAAGCCCCACGACCGACAAACAAAAAAGCTTCTCATAGGGCTGGGAAGGTGGCTCAGTGGTAGAGTGCTTGCCTTGCATACATGAGGCCCTGGGTTTGATTCCTCTGCACCACATAAGCAGAAAAAGCAGGAAGTGGCGCTGTGGCTCAAGCGACAAGAGTGTTAGCCTTGAGCTGAAGAGCTGAGGGACAGCGCTGAGGGCGCATTCAGGCCCCACAACCAACAAAAAATAAATAAATAAATAAATCTTACAGATTTTCTTTTCTGGGTGGACTACAAACTGTGATCCTCAGCTCTTAGCCTCCTGAGTAGCTAGTATTACAGGTGTAGGCCACTGGCTGGCTTCACAAGATTACATTTTTAACACTATCAAGAAAAACCAAACTGCTACTCAGGAGGCTGAGACCTGAGGATCGCGGTTCAAAGTCAGCCGGGGCAGGAAAGTCCTTGAGACTCTTCTCTCCAATAAACCACTAGAAAACCGGAAGTGGTGCTGTGGCTCAAGTGGTAAAGCGCTAGCCTTGAGCTGAAGAGCTGAGGGACAGCGCCCAAGCCCAGAGTTCAAGCCTCACAACCGACTAAAAAAAAAAAGAAAAAAGAAAAACCAAACTAAATGAAAATGGCTATATACCCACAAAAACAATCCACTATTTCATCTCTGGTCCAACAATCTTTGATGAAATAGTAGGGCTAAAATATCTTGCAAATGTCCATCCAGAGACTATATATAATTTCCAACATTCTTCTATTGAAGTTTTGTCACTCCTTGTGTGTGTGTGTGTTCTTTGTTGGTATTAGGCTTGACTTCAGGGCCTTGGGCACTGTTCGTGATGACCTGAGCATGTTTGCTCAAAGATAGCCTAGCGCTCTACCACTTTCAGTCACAGCTCCACTTCTGGTTTTCTGATGGTTAATCAGAAACAAAAGTCTCAGGACTTTTCCTGCCTGAGCTGGCTCTGAACAACGACCATCAGATCTCAGCCTACTGAGTGGCTAGGATTAGAGGGGTGAGCAACCAGCGCCTGCGCCCGACTGTCACTTCTTTCTTTACTCCAACATTTGATTCAGGAAATATAAGAACATCCACCCACCCATCTTCTACTACATCAGGAAAACTTTTTTAGAAGTTCAGATTTCAAGAGTATTCAATTGGAAAATACAGAATATCTAAGAGTGTAAATGATAAAAGATATAAATGACATCAGGATACAAGTGAAATATATAGACCAATGTAAGGTATTTTGTGTATATACCGGGGCTTGAACCTAGGGCTTTATGTTCCCCCTCAGTTCTTTTGCTCTTCCAGCTTTTTGCTGGTTAACCGGAGAAAAGGGCCTATAAGATTTATCTGCCGGGAGTTAGCTCCAAACCACCGTCCTTAAATTTCAGCCTTTTCATCCCCCAAGGTGTAGTCCAAGTTCTGCCCTTTGACATTATCCCTCAACTGTAAATAAACTACCTTTTTTCAATCACTGCGTGTCCATTCCCTTCCAATGTACCTTAGCAGGTTTATCTCAAATCCCTACCTCTATGTACCCCAGTCCCTTCTCCTCCAAGGTCTTTGTTTTGGTTAATATTTAAACATAAGGGTTTTGATTAAACTACCATATTCATAAGTACACTCTGGATCTAAATCAACATCTTCTACACGTTCCCTATTCGGTTAATGCTCAGCTAATGACCCTCAGCTGACACCACACATACACACAGATACACACTTTACACACATACATACACGTGTGCTCACACTTTTCTCTGGCTACCAACTTCCAACTTTAAGCCTCACTTTGGCATCCTCTGAGGCAGACATAACTCCGGGCTTTTCCTTCGGCTGCCCCCGAGATCATGCACCAAATCCCTCCGTCCGTCCCGCCCGCCCCGCCGCCCCGCCGCCCCGCGGCTGCCTCCGCCGCCTGCAGCCCAGGCCTCTGGGCCCCGGGGCCACCGCCCCTTTCCCGAGACCGGCCTCGGCAGTTAAGGAGCTGGACTCCGAGTGTCACCTTCTTCCTTTGCCATGGTCTCGGCGCAGGCCCGGGTGCTCCTCCGGTTCCCGCGCGGCCCGGAGTCTGCCACCCTCCTCGTCTCCGAACCCCTCGGCCGCCCCGCGCCCGCGCCCGCGCCAGCCGCCGCGCCCCCACTTCCTGACCCGCCTCCTTTCCGTGTCTCCACCAATGGAGGCCCCGGAACCAAGGTTCCGGAAGCGGAGCGCTGCCTGCCGGGACGCTTCTCGAGGTGCACCAGGGCCTGCGCGAGCGGGTTGTGGCGCCGCCTGCTTCCGGGAAGCGACGCTGCTCGGCCTCCGCCGCGGGCCTCCGCCGCGGGCCCGTCCCGGCGGATCCCTTGACTGCTGGAGTCGAAGACCAGTACCAGCCACACCTTCCGGGATCCCCTGATTCGGGCCCATTGCAAAGCAAGTCACAGAGCTAGTTGTCTAGAACGGGACCCAGGGCTCCGAGCAGATGCCTGGGCCTGCGGACCCACGGAGGTTTCAGATCGGGACCCTTGGTCAGGACGAGGACGCTGCCCTCCCTTCCTTTTTCTTTTCTTTTTTCCTTTAGTTTGTGTATGAAGCCGGGCGCCAGTGGCTCACGCCTGTAATTCTAGCTACTCAGGAGGCTGAGATCTAAGGATCACAGTTCAAAGCCAGCCCGGGCAGGAAAGTCCGTGAAACTCTTATCTCCAATTAACCACTAGAAGACCGGAAGTGGTGCTGTGGTTGAGCGCTCGCCTTGAGCTGAAGAGCTGAGGTACAGTGCCCATGCCCAGAGTTCAAGCCCCACAGCCGGCCTCCTCCCCCCAAAAAAGAATTATGTGCTGGTCCTGGGTCTTGAACTCAGGACCTGGGCGCTGTCCCTGAGCTTTTGTGCTCAAGGCTAACACTCTACCTCCGGGGCCACAGATGTGTCTTGAGCTTTCCTGCCCAGGCTGGCGTCAAACTGTGATCCTCCCATCTCAGCCTCCTAAGTAAATTTCAAGCCTGAGCCACTTGTATCCAGCTCCTTTTTGTCTTCCTTTGTTTTTGTTGTTGTTTTCGTTTGGTCTTGTTGTATAGCTCAGGCTGAGCTCATATTTGCTATTTTCTTCCCTCCTCTTCTCAAATGCTGCAATTACAGATGTTCACTACCGCACCTGGCTTAGCAGAGCTTTTTTTGTCAGTCATGGGGCTTGAACTCTGGGCCTGGGCACTCCCCTGAGCACTGAGGCTCAAGGCTAGCTCTTTACCACTTGCACCACAGCGCCACTTCCAGCTTTGCGGTGCTTAATTAATTAGAGATAATAGTCTCAAGGACATTCCTGCCGGGCTGGCTTTGAACAGCGATCCTCAGATCTCAGCTTCCTGAGTAGCTTGGATTACAAGCCTGAGCCACCGGCACGCAGCCAGCAGAACTCTTAATCATTACGAAAGTTTTGTTCTGGTTCTGGGTCACCAAAAATGGTGAAATAAGCGTTTTATGATTAGATTACCTTAGAGAAAAAAAAAGATACTAATACAGTTTATGAAGAGTTTGTATAGGTACTACACAGCACAACCGTTTTCATTTGTAATGCCATATTTTCACCTCAAGCACCAGGACCGTTTCTCCAACCTTACTTGGTAGTAAATTTAGAAATGACAATTTTAGAGCTGGAAGGAAGGAAAAGCATAGAATTCACTGAAGTCATTGAGTAATTATGGATGTTTCTTTCTTAGCAAGCAGCAAGATTGTCCTAAAAGTACCTTCATTAAACTAGGATATGTGGGGAGAGTTCTTTTATGTTTCGTTGACTAAGTATGTCATGCACCTAAATATGTCTTTGGCCTTCAGTCAGCACTGCACTAACAAAAAACAGTGGACCAAAAAAGGCCACAGGTCAAGCTGTGAAATGAAAAAATGAGCCTTGAGAACCACAGGATATGACAGGGACCCTAGACATGGACTAGCCTATTTTTATGGAACATCAAACCCAGTATTTTCCAAGTCTGTGGTCTTAAGGTAATAGATGGACTATAGTGTTTTATTATGATTATTGTGAGAATTGAACCTAGGGCCTCACTCAGAGGAAAGCTGCTCTACCAGTTGAGTCATACCTCTAGCCCCTTTTTAAAAAGCTTCTTTGTTTTGTTTATGTCTGTCATGGGGCTTGAGACCTGGGTGTAGTTCCTGAGCTCTTTTGCTCAAGGCTAGCACTCTACCACTTTGAGCTATAGCTCCACTTAAGGTTTTCTGGTGATTAATTGGAAAGAAGAGTCTCATAGACTTCCCTGCCCAGGCTGGCTGCACTCTGATCCTCAGATCTCAGCCTCTTGAGTAGTTAGAATTACAGGCCTGAGCCACTAGGACCTGTTTTTTACTGGTTTTGAGAGAGTTTACTTAATTTAGGAGTAATCTCCAACTTGTGATCCTCCTACTTCTGCCTCTCAAGAAGCTAAAATTATAATCAACTGTCACTATACTCTGACATGCTGTAATTTCATGATTACCTTGTAAATTTTCCTAGATTACTAAGAAGGGGACAAAGCTTCTTAAAATGAGAAATGGAATCATTCAACCATTAGATGGAAATCAACAGACAAAATTGTGTGTACCTCTAGAAACTTCCCTTGGGCCCTCAAGTCTAAGGATAACAAGAGTGGAATATCCTATCCACAAATCAGTGTGATCTGATATAAATGAAATAAGACATTTCTTGTTGAAAATATATTCTTTATTTTTTATTTTTATTTTGCCAGTCATGGTGCCTGAACTCTGGGCCTGGGCACTGTCCCTCAGCTCTTCAGCTCAAGGCTAGTGCTCTACCACTTTAGCCACAGCACTACTTCCAGCTTTTTCTGCTTATGTGGTGCTGAGGAATCCAACCCAGGGCCACATGCATGCAAGCACTCTACCACTGAGCCACCTTCCCAGCCCTTGAAAATATATTCTTTATCCTAAAAAGGCAAAACTCTTAACTGCTCAAGATGTTGCATTGCCTGTCATTATAGGTGAGTTTTCAGCAGGTCAATCTATGATTCCCAAAAGCAAGTAGCTTCCAGGTAGTACTGTGCATGGCTAGTAGACACATAGCCTTAACATGACTTCAGTTTTTTGCTTTTTGTTTTTTTTTTCAGTCATAGGGTTTGAACTCTGCACTGTCCCTAAGCTCTTTAGCTCAAGGCTAGCACTCTACCACTTGAGCCACAGCACCACTTCTGGTTTTCAGGTGGTTAACTGGAGATAGTCTTACAGACTTTCCTGCCCAGGCTGGCTCTGAACCTTGATCCTCATATCTCAGCCTCCTGAGTAGCTAGGATTACAGGTGTGAGCCACCGGTGCCTGGCTTTCAGATGATAATTTTATTGACAATTTTGTCAAAGCAACCAATGGGATGTTAGGTACCTATCCAAAATGTATACTCTTTGCTTCACTTGGACTAACCCCAAACATACCACATTTTCCCAGAGTTTCATGTACAAACTATTCTAGGAGCACTATGATTTTTTTGCCACCTTCAGAAAGGATAAGGCTGAATCTGGAAGCAGTGGATGTTTTCAGGGAACAATGTGAAATATTCTGTGTTTTCAGAAGAGGACTGGGGTAAACTCAGAAATACAATGCTTGCCTAGCATGCGTGAAGCCCTGAATTCAGTTGCCAGCACTGAAAAAAAAGTCTTTAGAAAATGTAGATTAGGGCTGGGAAGGTGGCTCAGTGATAGAGTGCTTGCCTCACATGCATGAGGCCCTGGGTTCGATTCCTCAGCACCACATAAGCAGAAAAAAAAAAGCCGGAAGTGGCGCTGTGGCTCAAGTGGTAGAGTGCTAGCCTTGAGCTGAAGAGCTGAAGGACAATCAGCCCCAAGTACAGACACTAAACCTTGTATTACCTTAGACACAGATGCAGGAACATTATCTGAGCCTATCATTGTGGGGAGACCATACCTGGGTAAGATGTCTTCCAACCAACAGCTTCTTTGTTACAACTTGCGTTGTTTCTCATTTGGTGGGGAAGGTTTCTAACCATCCTGAAAAAGTATCTATGAAGACTAGTAGGTATTTATACCCATATTTGCCAGGCTTCAACTCAATGAAGTCTACTTCCCAATAGTGCCAGGCTTGTCTCCTCTTATTCTCTTCCCAAGATTGGCTGCACTCCATACATTGTTGGTCAGCTGGCAGGCCTTGCATTCAGTGACAATGTGTTCAATCTTTTCCTTGGTGCTCCTGATTCTAATTTCAGCATGTCTCAGTAAATCTTTCATTTTCCTGATGCCCATGTACATGGATCAGTGCAAACTATATAAGACTCAGTTCTCCTGTCTTTTTGGGAGGATTACTCTATTCTTTGAATCTGAGTCGTGGGCAGTCCCTTAATCCATTCTAGTTCCTCCTGAGTGTAGCCCAGGTTTTCAGGGAGGCTGTGTGGTCTAGGGTCAGGTAGTGTAGTTACTAATACCTGGTCTGTTTGGAGGGCTACCCCTCGGGCTGTCTTGTCTGCAAAGTTGTTTCCTCGATACAGAGTCCTTTGGCTTTTGGTGTACTGGACAATGTACTATGGCCAGATCCTTTGGCAACCATAAGGCTTTTATTAGGGCAAGGATTTCCTCCTCGTTTTTTGTTTTTGTGTCCGGTATTGGGACCTGAACTCTGGGCCTGGGCGCTGTCCCTCAGCTCTTCAGCTCAAGGCTAGTGCTCTACCACTTGAGCCACAGCACCACTTCCGGCTTTTTTCTTTTTGCTTATGTGGTGGTGAGGAATTGAACCCAGGGCCTCATGCATGCAAGGCAAGTGCTCTACCACTGAGCCACCTTCCCAGCCCTAATAATTTTCTTTCCTTCAGCTTTCAAGTCCCCTTTCTCTGTAGATGGCCCCATGCACCCGAGCCGTGGCATAGCGGCTGTCAATATAAACAGGCAGTTTCTTGCCTTTCCCTAGAGTCATTGCCTTAGTTACGGCCACCAGCTCAGTCTGTTGTGCTGAGGTTCCGGCTGGGAGTGGCTCGACCCAGACGACTTCAGTCTGTTTCCACCGCGGCCCCTGCATACCTCTGTCCATTTTTGACGAAGCTGCTTCCATCGCTGTACCATACAAGTTCTGCATTCAGCAGAGGTTGGTCTTTCAGGTCGGCTCGCATTC